TCAGAAAAATATGCACGCGCGCTCATCTCCCCCGAAATGAGCAGTTGAGAGGGCGGCGGTGGGTTAGGGTCCCAGAGATGACACTCTCCAGGCAGCAGTAGGTGCCAGCGAGGTCGGTGGCTTCGGGAAATGAGAGTGGCATGTTTTAGAGGAGGTCTCCAGGAACGCAGGACTGCTGGGTGGATCTGGGATTCCTTAAGGAGGTGCCTGTGGCCCGTACCCTTGTTAAACACTTTTTATCAAACAAAGTCCTGCAGCACTCTATCCTTTGTCCCTCCTGTCAGGGCGGCCTGAACCTTAATGTCCTCAGCTATAAAATGGGTAGTATTACAATGGTAGTCAGTGAGCACTTTGGATTATAAAAAATGTTCAGACATATTTCTGAGAATTTAAAATGAACAACAATAAAAACCAACGAGGACTTTGATATCTTTAAATTTTTTCCAGATGAAGAATTACAAGGGGGTTGTCAGAAAGCTATTATCAGCTAGTTTGGGTTTTAATTTTTGTTTTGATACATGGTGCTTCTAATGGCTTAAATATGGTAGTGATGATAATGATAAAAAAATCAAGAAGGCCAGGTGCTGTGATGTGTCTGTGATCCCAGCTTTCTGGGAGGATCGCTTGTGTCCCAGAGGTCGAGGCTGCAGTGAGCTGTGATTGCAACACTGCACTCCAGTCTGGGTGACAGAGCGAGACCCTGTAGCAAAACCAAACCAAACCTAAATCACTTTAAAGGACATCATGCCTTTTCAGGTACCTGTAAGGCACTTGGCTGAAGTTGTACCAGTTGAGATGGGTGTGAAGTGAGTCTATGAGTCCTTGGAGGAGAAAGGATTGCTTTTGAGTGCGCTGTGTCCCTACCCTTTCCCTCATTCCCCCATCGTGCAAAAGCAATGAACTTTTGCTGGCATGTTTCTCATCTTTTTGTAAATGTTGAACAACAGAGCCAGAAGTCTGTCTTCAAATACTGCCTAGAAATTAAAGTTTTTAAACAAATTAAATATTTAAGTGAATTGAAATGTAAAATACACTTCCCTATTCCCCTCCCTGAAGCATTCTGGAGCTCACTGAGTTCCAAATAGGAGTTGTTCCTGACTCCACTGGCACTGAGGTAGTTGCCAGGGCTCCTGCAGTGGGAGATAGGGATTCAGGGTCTAGGGATTTAATTTCAGAAAAAAAGAGTTTTTTTTCAAAATAATTTATCTACCCAATAAGAATCTGTAAGAACACAAATGTTTAGAATTATGTTTGAGGCCTTTATTTATTTATTTATTTATTTATTTATTTATTGCCATGCAGTTCTTATTCTGGTATATTTCACATAAAGCAAAATATATCCATTTTCAGTATAGAGTTCAATGAGGCCGGGCAATTACAGGCTTACAACTGTAATCCCAGCACTTTGGGAGGCCAAGGTGGGAGGATTACTTGAGCCCAGGAGTTCAAGACCAGCCTGGGAGACAAAGTGAGACTCTATCTCTACAGTAAATTTAAAAAAAAAAATAGCTGAGCATGGTGGTGCATGTCTGTAATCCCAGCTACCTTGGAGGCTGAAGTGGGAGGATTACTTAAGCCCAGGAGGTCAAGGCTGCAGTGAGCCATGATCATGCCACTGCACTCCAGTCTGGAGTAAAATCAAATATAATTTTATAAAATAAAAATTAGAGTTCAATGAGTTCAGACAAATGCAAACAGAACATTCCAATCACTTGCAAAAGTTCTTTAATGCACTTCCCAGTCATTCTCGCCCAAAATAACATCTCATGTGATTTCTTTCACTGTAGATGAGTTTTGCTTGGTTTAGATTTCATACAGGTGGAACACAGTATTTCTCTTTTGTGTCTGGCTTTTTTCATTTGGCCCGATGTCTACGAGATTCATCTGTGCTCTTCCCATGTTAGTAATTTGTTTCCTTTCATTGCTGAGTAGTATTCCATAACCCTGTTGTTGCATTTCTTATTTTATTTATTTATTTATTTATTTATTGAGATGGAGTCTCACTCTGTGGCCCAGGCTGGAGTGCACTGGCATGATCTCAGCTCACTGCAACCTCTGCCTCCTAGGTTCAAGTAATTCCCCTGCCTCAGCCTCCTGAGTAGCTGGGATTATAGGCACATACCACCAGGCCCGACTAATTTTTTTGTATTTTTAGTAGAGATGGGGTTTCACCATGTTGGCCAGGATGGTCTCGATCTCCTGACCTCATGATCCATCCACCATGGCCTCCCAAAGTGCTGGGATTACAGGCGTGAGCCACCGCGCCTGGCCTTGTTGTTGTATTTCTTTGTCAGTTCTGTTTCTGGACACCTGGGCTGTTTCCAGTTTTTTGCTATTATGAAAAAAACTAATCTGAATATTTGCGTACAAGTTTTTGTGCAGACAAATTGTAGTAGTAGCATGCTGCGGCTGGCTCACCAGAGCGGATATTGTGCATCTCTTTTAAATCTGGTTCAGCGACTGTCATATCAGTAGCCTGAAATAAGCCATGGGGATAGTACAAATTAGAGCTATTTTCTTCCTGGAGAGTTGGTTGTTAAACATTTACCAGCACACCACTGGACATGTGTTTTCATTTCTCTGGAGTAAATACCTAGGAGTGAGATTTCTGGATTGCATGGCAGGTCTATGTTTAATTTTATATGAAACTGCCAAACTGTTTCTAAAGTGCTTGTGCCACTTTACATTCCCAATAGCCATGTATGAAAGTTACAACTGCTCTACATTCTCATCAACATGTATTATTGTCAGTCTTTTTCATTTTAGCCACTGGGGTTGGGCATGGTGGCTCACACCTGTAATCCCAGAGTGTTGGGAGAATGAGGCCAGGAGCTCGACATCAGCCTGGGCAAAATAGTGAGACCCTGTCTCTAAAAAAAATTTTTTTTCAGCCATTAAATGGTGAAGATCCGAATAGAAAAGGGGAGTTGGGGCTGGGTGCAGTGGCTCAAGCCTGTAATCCCAGTACTTTGGGAGCCTGAGGTGGGTGGATCACTTGAGGTCAGGAGTTTGAGACCAGCCTGGCCAACATGGCAAAACCCCATCTCTACTAAAAATACAAAAATTAGCCAGGCATGGTGGCGGGCACCTGTAGTCCTAGCTACTCAGGAGGCTGAGACAAGAGATCGCTTGAACCCAGGTGGCAGAGGTTGCAGTAAGCCGAGATCACACCACTGCACTCCAGCCTGGGTGACAGAGCAAGACTCCATCTCAAAAAAAAAAAAAAAAAGAAAAAAAAAAAAGAAAAGAAAAAGGGAGTTGGGAAATGGAAGTTATATGGGAGGCCAATAGGCAGAACTTCTATCTTCCATCTTATAGGCAGAGAAAGCATGTGATAAATACAGATTGAAATATGTTGAGGCCCCTTCACCTACAACCTTCCTCTGATCTTTCCCATTTCATTGCCGAGGGATGCTTAATCTCCAAACAGGAGAATGCAGTCACTTCAAACATAACAGGCCATCATAGTGTTGGGGAAATAATTAAAAGGAGGATCTTGTGCCAACCCAATGAATCCTCTCCACAAAGTAGACACGAACGAAAAGGTTTTGTTTGTTTGTTTTGAGACAGGGTCTCACTCTGTCACCCAGGCGCAGTGGCAGGACCTCAGCTCATTGCAACCTCCGCCTCCTGGGTTCAAGCGATTCTTGAGCCTCAGCATCCTAAGTAGCTGGGATTAGAGGTGTTTTTTTTTTTTTTTTTTTTTTTTGTATTTTTAGTAGAGATGGGGTTTCCCCATGTTGGTCAGGCTGGTTGGTCTTGAACTCCTGGACTCAAGTGATCCGCCTGCCTTGGCCTCCCAAAGTGCTGGGATTACAGGTGTGAGTCACCGCGCCAAGCAAAAATGAAAAGTTTTATTACTGAATAAGCATTACACCAGACTGTGATGCATATCACAAGCAATCTACTAAAGAGGTTTCAAAGACAGAAAGAAATCTCATTGGTTTATGTAGCAGGCAGATACAGCCCATTACAAACATGTTCTCAAAATGAACAATAACTTGTGCTCAGGTTAGAAACTTGACAGCACCATTTGGTACACATAGTTCATCCCAAATTCACCTGGTAATTGGGGTGGCTATCTGTGTTAGGAAAACTAAAACTCATATCTCTATGACAAGCAGGTAATAACTTGAAGCCAGGTGCGCAGATCAAATTCCCATGAAGACAGGGAAAGACAGGGGTGCTATTTTCATTGATGTTTACATTTCGAAGAGATGGCGCCAAGGTTCTTAAGATAAACATTCTGGGGTTGTAAAACTGGCAAAGACCTAGGTTTTTAAAAGATTTACATACAAAAAAAAAAAAAAAAAAGATTTACATACATCTAAAAGGGACAGAGAAAATTTTACAGTTAAAAGTTTTCTAAAGGAAATGAGAAGAGAGACATCTCTCTCTCCTTTGAAACCAGGGGAAATTCGATTTTTAAAAATTCATGTTTACTCTACAATACCTCCACACATTGACTGGCATCCTGCTCCGTTCCAGGTCTGCACTTCTCTCTTCACCTGGCCACTTGTGACTAGTCTTTCAAAATCCTAATGAACCCCATTCCTAAACGAAGTCTCCCAGACAGCAGGCCGCCTCTCCCTAGGGCCAGCCCCCCAGCCCCCGCCACACCAGAGACCCGCTGTCCTCGAAGGCTACGAACTAGTCTCCCAGAGCTGGTGACATCGCAGATCATTTGGTCTGATTCCAGCCCATTTCAAAGATGGTAAAACTGAGACACAGGAAAATCATAAAAGGGTGCTTAGGGCACTGGCCCAAAAAGGGTACTTAAGGATTTCTCTGCCCAGATGCCAAAGCCCTAAGGTTAGCCCCAAATGACCTTAAAGAGTCCTGCTTTATTCGTCTGTGACACTACTGGGGTTAAAACCCTAGGCACGCAGGTCTTACCACAACTGCGCCTGCGCGAGTCAGGGCGTGCGCTTGCCCTAGATCTTGACGTTTCAGGCAGCCCCTCCTAATCCGGAACAGGACTCACATTCCGTTGGTCTTACCTTGACAGACGTGACCCTGATCCAATAAAGATGAAGGGCTGAGCCCCGCAGAGCCAATAGCGAGAGTCCTAAGGGTGGAGGAGGTGGACTCTGTGAGGAAACAAGAAGACAGGCCCAAGATGGAGGCGGCGGCGGCTGTAGCGGCGTGACAGGTGAGGTCTCGGTTTCGGGAGCGGCTGCCGGGCACGGGCAGGGAGCCTGGACCGAAAGCTCAGCTCCAGGATGGCTGTGCCTGGGTCCCGGTGTCCCCTGCCCGGAACCGGAGGAGTGGTTTGACCCGGGGCGAGACCATCGTCGACAGCGGGGGTGGGGTGGATAACAGGAATCGGCGGGCAGCGGGTGATGGTTTCGCCCGCTGCTTGTGGTGGTGCGCCTGCGCAGAGCCGGAAGCCTTTGGTAGGAGGGACCCGGTAGATTGGTGCTGGGATACCCTCTTAACTCCCCTAAGGTGTCCGATGACCTTTCCTTTCCAACTGCGGGGAGTGCGTGGAGATGCGGTTCACTTCCCGGTTTCCTTATTCTGGATCAGTGTCTGCCCCCCCGGGAGAAAGTCAGTATTCTTGCCTTGATCCAACCTTCCGTAACCGCCTTCCATGATCCCCCATTCAGTTTACGCCCATAATGTGCCGGTGACCCCTCACTGGTTGTCAAGGAAGATTTTGGAGCTCCCTCTTTACCTCCTTTTTTCTCCCCTCAACACCCTACCTTCCTTTTCCTTTTCCTGTGACAGTGTCTGGTGATCCACCATTACCACCCCAGTTCGGCTCCTTGTCTGCCATGTCTGGTCATCTCCATTTCCGCCCTTCTCCCCATTACAGTCCCTAGTGACCCCTGTTACATTTCCCTTCCGCATAGTGTACGGTGACACCCCCACCCCCCCACCCCCCGCCATGAGCTCCTCATCATAGAGTCTTAGGACTTCCATCAGCCACCTAACATGGTGTCTGTGGTCCTGACATCAACATTACACCGCAGGGCGTAGGGATGCCCACAGTGCCCTTTGAGGACATGTTTGGTGCAACCTCCATCTTCCCTAAACTAAGGGTAATCAATATCTGATGATCCTCTCTTTCCCATCACGCTGCCTGCGACTCCTCCCTCACCACAGTATCTGGTACTTCCCCCGTTCTCTGTTAAAAAGCCAGGACACTTTGGGAGGCCGAGGCGGGTGGATCACCTGAGCTCAGCCTGGCCAACATGGTGAAACCCCTTCTCTACTAAAAATACAAAAATTAGCCAGGTGTGGTGGCGGGCGCCTGTAATCCCAGTTACTCGGTAGGCTGAGACAGGAGAATCGCTTGAACCTGGGAGGCAGAGGTTGCAGTGAGCCAAGACTGCATCACTGAACTCCAGCCTGGGCAACAAAGAGGGAAACTCCGTCTCAAAAAAAAAAACAAAACAAAACACACACACACACACAGGACATTCTGTTCTTGCTTCTTATGTACCTGACAGCTCGGTGCAGTGTGTACTGACTTCCCCATTGGTCCCAAGCACAGAGTCTTACGTGCTCCTGTACTCTCCAGGACAGTATGCGCTGTCCCTCCATCCCTATCCTCCCCACCCTGTGCAGTGAACCTGAGACCTTGGCACTTAAGAGTGAGATGAGCAACAGGAGGGTCTGAGCAGAGGAGGAACTGGAAGGACTTCAGATGTGAGCAGGATCTCTTGGGCTGTCGTGTGAAAATTAGGCTGCAGGGGGCGACAGGAGCCTGGACTTAGAATTTTACTTTGTCCCCTGCCACTTTGCTTCCAGACGATCATTACTGGACATCTGAATTCTTCTGTCTGCCTTCTCGTAGGAGCCCCATGGCACCTGCCCAGCCCCACCTCAGCCCATCTTGACAAAGTCTAAGGCTCCATGGAGCCACCACGGGGCCCCCCTGCCAATGGGGCCGAGCCGTCCCGGGCAGTGGGCACCGTCAAAGTGTACCTGCCCAACAAGCAACGCACGGTGGTGAGTCTTGGAAGCAAAATGGCAGGGGCTGTGGATGGACCCCGTTGTAACTCTGGGATCAAAAGGGTGACAGTGGGTGGGGGAGGCCTTTGCAGAAGGATGGGAACATCACCTGCAGCCTCTGTTGGGCACTGAGGACCCCTGCATCTGCATATACACACAGGTAACTGTCCGGGATGGCATGAGTGTCTACGACTCTCTAGACAAGGCCCTGAAGGTGCGGGGTCTAAATCAGGACTGCTGTGTGGTCTACCGACTCATCAAGGGGTGAGTGTGGCAGCCCCATGCCCACCCACTGGGTGTCCCCACCTCCTATCCTTTTCTCAGTCATCTGATTCCTTCTGTACTTTATCACAGAGTCTTCTGTGAGTCTTCCCTTAGTCTTTAGTCCTCCCTTATCTGCTGGGTACATTTTCCAAGACCCCCAGTGGATGCCTGAAACCACACATAGTACTGAACCCAGTTGCTATCAGTCAGAACTTTTTCCGTTCTTGTCTTCTACCCATAAATGTAATGCCTTTTCCATCTTAACTAAGCATGTGTCACACTCTGGCCATCACTTTTGCAATCTGAGATGTGACATCAAAACTGGCATAAATTTATTTTTCCTTCTTCAGAATTCCATAGGAAAAAAACTTTTTCTTACAGTAGATCTCAACAACCTCAGCATATGATTTTCTTTTCTTTTAAGTCAAGAACTTTTACCTTTTTGCTTAAAGGAAGCACTTTACAGCTTCTCTTTGGCATGTCCGAATTGCCGCCAACACTACTCTTGTGGTTTGGGGCCATTGTTAAGTAAAATGGTAGTCACTTGAAGACAAGGACTATGACATTGAGTCAGTTGTTTGATAACCGAGCAGGCTTCCAAGAGATGGGCGGTAGCGCAGACAGTGTGGATCTGCTAGATAAAGGGATGATTCACATCCCGGGTGGGATGGTGCAGGATTTCACCACGCTGCTCAGAATGCACGCAATTTAAAACTTAGGAATTGTTTATTTCTGCAATTTTCAATTTAACACTTTCCTACACGGTTGACCACAGGTAACTGAAACCGTGGAGAGTGAAACCACAGGTAAGGGAGGACTATGGTAGTTCAACTAATCCATGAGTTCATCCAACTTTTGTTTTGTTATTTCATTGGTTCATCGGCCTGTAAGGTCAGCAACTATTCTCCCCTGGCCCTCAAGTCCTCACCCTGCTCCATCACTTCCTCCCAGATTTCATCTATTTTGTCTTTTTGCGATTTCATGAATTCATCAGCTCTCTTCTTCCTCATTTTCCCCATTCTCTGTCTGCTGAGTTGGGTCCTGCTGATGTTATTTATTCCTCTCTCGTGAGGTTCCTTAATTTTGTATGCAGTTCACACCCTGCACTTTGTTGTTTCAGTGCCTCCGCAGCCCCCTTTTCAGGGGCTGGCTTAGTGCTCCTGAGATGTAGTTGTTTAGTTTCATTTGCTTCTCCACTTCCATTTAAGAGCGTGGACTCTTCACGCCGTCCTGCCTCTCATGACACTTGTGGCCTTGGGCCAGTCACTTTATCCCTCTGAGCCTGTTTCCCCATCTGTAAAGTGGGGGCAAGGATAGTGAATAATTCCTAGAGTTGCTATGATGAGAATTAAACATGCCAGACATGACGCTGTGGGTAGCAGGCTTGGAGGGACTTTTGGGGGTTCCCTGCCTCCCCATAGTCCCTGCCCACCCTCCCACTCATTCCCTTCCATGCCCCCTGCAGACGAAAGACGGTTACTGCCTGGGACACGGCCATCGCTCCCCTGGATGGCGAGGAGCTCATTGTCGAGGTCCTTGAAGATGTTCCGCTGACCATGCACAATTTTGTGAGTGCAGGGTGGACATTGCGGGCAGACTATGGTTGGAGGGTGTCCTTGATCAGGTCTTAAACTTCACTGCTCTGTGGCATCAGGTACGGAAGACCTTCTTCAGCCTGGCGTTCTGCGACTTCTGCCTTAAGTTTCTGTTCCATGGCTTCCGTTGCCAAACCTGTGGCTACAAGTTCCACCAGCATTGTTCCTCCAAAGTCCCCACAGTCTGTGTTGACATGAGTACCACCTGCCAACAGTGAGCCCAACCTGGGGTGGGGGGGGGGAATGGGGAGCACAGAGGCCCAGCCACAAGGCCCTTACGGACAGCTGACCCGTGTCCCCTTGCTTTATACCCTTCATGCCCTCAAGGTTCTACCACAGTGTCCAGGATTTGTCCAGAGGCTCCAAACAGCAGGAGGCTCCCTCAAACCGCCCCCTGAATGAGTCGCTAACCCCCCAGGGTCCCAGGTAGGGATGCCTTAGCCGAAGGGGGAGAAAAAGATCTGGGACTCTTGTAGACCACAAGCCATACTTTATTCATTTGTTTACTTGACAAACATTTATTGAGCACCTACAAGTGTGAATAAGGGCATGAAACTGGGACCTTGGACAAGTCACCTGATTTCTCTGGGCCTCAGTTTTCTCATCTGTAAAGTGGATCATGATACTTTCTACCATTTAAGGTTCTGGTGAGGATTAAATGAGTTAAGACATGTTCATTGCCTAGAACAGGATCTGGTACAGTGTAAATAGTCAATTCGTTTTATTATTAATTATAAATATATTTATAAGCATCTAACTACTTTGCTAATTCTTCTAGAACCATGCTCGAGCCTTTCCATTTTGAAATATGTTTTATAAATTACTTCCCTTTTATTGCTTTTTATGTTAAATATTATCATATAATACTATAGCTATATTAAAATATATTACCGCTCTAATATATATTTTATAATGTGCATATTTTCTGGTATATTTATGTTATTGTATCATGTTGTATTACATAATTTTATGTCATGTAGAACATCATACATGTTTATATAATACATAAAATAAGGTTAGGGTATTATTATTTTAATGTGTGTATGTGGATTAGTTACCGTTGAGTTTCATTTCAGGAGAGTGAAGGGAACATTAACATATTTTTGTAACTTAATGTTTAGCGTATATCATATGTGTAACATGCATGTATAACAGAACATAGTAATATGTATACTTTAAAACATTGGCATTTTAATATAGATAATGCATATTATATAACATTTGAAGAATACATGTAATTATATAATTATAAAATATGATACATTCCCCTTTCCCCACTATCTGTGTGGCTTGCTCTCCTGCCTTTAGGCATTTACTCCAATGTCACCTCCTCAGAGAAGTCTTTTCTGACACTTTCTAGGAACACTGTGTCTCCTTATTTTGCTTTACTATTTTTCTTTATTGCACCTGTCACCATCAGGCATATTATATATTTGTTTTTTTATTTCAGCCCCATGAGGGCAAGAACTGTTATTTTGTTTTACAGTTTTATCTCCACCACCTAGAATGGTATCTGGCACACAGCAGGCACTCAATAAATGTTTCTTGAAGCAATGAATAATAGTACTGCCAGTGGACATTCGCTCTGTGTGAGCTAAATGCATGTTTATGGCCGGGGGTGGGGTGGGGGGCTTTCTTGGTTCTCTGATTCCTGACAGTGATTTCACAGCCTTTCCCCCTGGCAGCCCCTGCACCCAGCACTGTGACCCGGAGCACTTCCCCTTCCCCGCTCCAGCCAATGCTCCCCTGCAGCGCATCCGCTCCACGTCCACTCCCAACGTCCATATGGTCAGCTCCACAGCCCCCATGGACTCCAACCTCATCCAGGTTGGTGCTGTGGGGGACAATGGTGGGGACCACTGGACAGAGGGGAGAGTCATTTCTGTTGGCCTCCGTGCCCTCTTTTTGACTCCTGTCTCTCTTCTTCTAGCTCACTGGCCAGAGTTTCAGCACTGACGGTGAGTCCCCCGTGCCTACACTCTGACCCTCGCCACCCCACTTGCCTCCACTCACCTCCTCTCTGTAACTGCAGCTGCCGGTAGTAGAGGAGGTGGAGATGGAGCCCCCCGGGGAAGCCCCAGCCCACTCAGCCTGTCCTCGGGGAGGAAGTCCCCACATTCCAAGTCACCAGCAGAGCAGCGTGAGCGGAAGTCCTTGGCTGATGACAAGAAGAAAGTGGTATGCTCGAGGGGGGACCTTGTGGGGGGACCCACGCTGAGTGACGTGGGATGGAGGATGTGGGCAGGCCTCTTAGATGCTACCCATCTGGCCCACAGAAGAACCTGGGGTACCGGGACTCAGGCTATTACTGGGAGGTACCACCCAGTGAGGTGCAGCTGCTGAAGAGGATCGGGACAGGCTCGTTTGGCACCGTGTTTCGAGGGCGGTGGCATGGCGATGTGGCTGTGAAGGTGCTCAAGGTGTCCCAGCCCACAGCTGAGCAGGCCCAAGCCTTCAAGAACGAGATGCAGGTGCTCAGGTGAGGTTGAACGTGTGCGTGGATGGGGGTGGCAGGCCTGGCCTTGGCCCCTCCCTGGGAAAAGGCCATGCTCGGAGTGCTTCCTGGACATCACCTGCGTTTGTGTTGTTAAACCATCATCAGAAGTTGTTTCTCTCTGAAGGACGTCCCTTTCCCCTCTGGGAAATTATGTTACAGAGAATAAGGTAGCTAATATAATGATCAGTTTTACCGTTGAGGAGCCTGAGACCCAGAGAGGTTAAATGACCTCCCCAAGGTTGCACAGTGAGTAACTGGTGAAGCCTAAATTTGAACGTGAGTCCAGACTCCAAGCTCTTTACCTCTAAGCTTCTCATGCTGCTGAACAGGCTCTAATCACACATCACCAATGTTTTTACCCTACATTTATCCATATTATGTTGCTACATCAGTGAGGAAGGTTGGCATTCCACCTCCTCATCTGTGAGATGGTCACAGACCCAGGTAATGGTCAGAGTCAGAGGGGCAGGGGATGTTCTTGACTAGAAATGCTACTGTAGGCAGGAGGAGCCAGCAATTCCTCTCTCCTGCTTTTGCTGGGAGGCTCAGATGGGGAGGCTCCGCATATAAGCCCACAGCAGAGAATCATAGCCCAGTAAACACATCTCACAAGTTCACGGAATCTGGCAATGCTCTGGTGCCCCAAAAGACAGGGTGAAAATGAATGACCAAAGAAGGGAAAGAACAGTGCCACTCCTGATGCTCAGTAAGTGACGGTCACTATGTTTCCTCCCCACCTCTGACACTGCCCTCCCTGCCTGCAGGAAGACGAGACATGTCAACATTTTGCTGTTCATGGGCTTCATGACCCGGCCGGGATTTGCCATCATCACACAGTGGTGTGAGGGCTCCAGCCTCTACCACCACCTGCATGTGGCCGACACACGCTTCGACATGGTCCAGCTCATCGATGTGGCCCGGCAGACTGCCCAGGGCATGGAGTGAGCCTCCCAGCCTGGGGAGGGGTGGGGGGAAAGGGTGGGGGAGATGAGGTAACCCCCAGCCAATCTGCCATCTGCCTCCACCCCCACAGCTACCTCCATGCCAAGAACATCATCCACCGAGATCTCAAGTCTAACAGTATCTATCTGTCCCTGGGCTGGGGTTGGGGTGGGAGCGTCACGGGCTTAGAGGGTCCCTCTTGTGGGGGTTCTGGGGATTACAAGGGAAGGCCATGTGTATGTGTCCCGTAGCTCCTTGCCAGGTAGCAGAGCTGTGGCTGACGAGGGGGCTTTAATGGCAGTCTCTTGGTCAGAAGTCAGAGGTGTGGCTGGTTCAGGTGCTGTTCTTGGGGACTCTGGTGAAGGTCTGATGTGTGACAGTTGTGGAGGGCATTATGGTCAGCATCAGAGGCATGGTGGGTTCGGGTGCCCTCCGAAGGGCTTCCTGGTCAGGAGTCACAGCAGCACTGAGTATGGGGGGCATTAGTAGGCGTTCCCTGCCCACGTCAAGGCTGTGGGTAGTTTGTGTGATATTAGGGGGCTCCTGGTCGGGATCAGAGGGATGAGGTGATACGGGGACACCAATGGGAACCTCACAGGCAGGGTGAGAGGCATGGCTATTAGGAGGCCCTGTCGTGGTCCTTGACTCTGGCGGACATCTTCCTACACGAGGGGCTCACGGTGAAGATTGGTGACTTTGGCTTGGCCACGGTGAAGACTCGATGGAGTGGGGCCCAGCCCTTGGAGCAGCCCTCAGGTTCTGTGCTGTGGATGGTGAGTTGGGCCAGGCTTGATGGGGGCCACGTGGGGATGTGGGCTCCTGAACTGGGGTGTGTAGGGCTGAGTAGGGATGGGGATGCCCGTGACAGGTGTGGGTGTCTGGACTCCTCCTGTCCTACCTTGTGTGGGTGGCTCGGGATTGTACCCTGTGTGGCCAGTGGGATCTGGGACTGCGGGCTAGCCATTTGCTGACCTGGTCTGGTGTTGTAGGCAGCTGAGGTGATCCGTATGCAGGACCCGAACCCCTACAGCTTCCAGTCAGATGTCTATGCCTACGGGGTTGTGCTCTACGAGCTCATGACTGGCTCACTGCCTTACAGCCACATTGGCTGCCGTGACCAGGTGAGCCCCACACCTTACCCACAGTTCCCTGAGCTGAGGGATCCCCTCCTTTGCACAGATGAATGCCACGCTTTCCCCAGAAACCTGAAACTGTATTGGATAAGGACTCCCAGAATCCCTTGGGCTCCAGACACCTATAATCAATTCTCTGGGTCTCCCCTACTCCAGCTTCCCTCTTCTCACATCCACAGCCCTCTGGGACAAAAATTCTCGAAGTCCAGAATGCCCCAGATCTCTATATCTAGAATCCCCTGAGGTCCCCAAATGCCCCAAAGCCCTCTGTACCCCTAGATGCCTATAGTCCTCTGCTCTGGGTACTCAAAATGCCCCGGGTCCTCAAAGCCCAGGTCTCATTTCTCCCAAGATCCCATATCTCCCCAGAAACAGAACCCCTTTGTGCTTCTGGCATAGTCACAGGTGCCCACAGTCACCTAGGCCTTGAGTATCTAGCAGGCCCCAGGGCCGGGATACCTGGAATCCTCTAGGCCCCAGACCCCCACAGAAGTACAAACTCCTCAGACCCAGAGCTCCATGTTTCCCTGAGACTCAGTACTTTTCAGATCTTTAAGGCCCCTAGAAACCTGTGGACCCATAATCCTCTGGGCCCCAGATACCTACAATCCTTGACAACCTCAAATTTAAATTCCTCTGTTCTACAAGCAGAGAGTCCTCCCAAGTCCTCAGGGACAGAGAATCCTCTGGACCCCAATACTGACAGTACCCCAGTTTGCCAAAAATGAACCTCCCAAGTCCCTTAATACAGAGTTCTTTGGGCCTTCCAGCTCCTGACCCTAGATCACCCTTCTCCTGCTATCCTCTCCCGACAGATTATCTTTATGGTGGGCCGTGGCTATCTGTCCCCGGACCTCAGCAAAATCTCCAGCAACTGCCCCAAGGCCATGCGGCGCCTGCTGTCTGACTGCCTCAAGTTCCAGCGGGAGGAGCGGCCCCTATTCCCCCAGGTGGGCTGGGTAGGAGGGCTAGACACCTTGGGTGGGGGACTCTGGGATGGAAGAAGACTGAGATGGAGGCAGATGTGAATGTGAACTGTGTTGAAAGCTCAGAGGTACAGAGAGAGAGAGAGAGAGAGAGAGAGAGAGAGAGAGTGTGTGTGTGTGTGTGTGAGAGAGAGAGAGAGAGAGAGAGAGAGAGAGAATGTTTCCCATGAGACTGGGGTCTGGGGCTGTTGGGATGCCCATAGGGCCCTGGACATCCCTGCTCACCCCCACCTGCCCTCAGATTTTGGCCACAATTGAGCTGCTGCAGCGGTCACTCCCCAAGATCGAGCGGAGTGCCTCGGAACCCTCCTTGCACCGCACCCAGGCTGATGAGTTGCCTGCCTGCCTACTCAGCGCAGCCCGCCTTGTGCCTTAGGCCCCGCCCAAGCCACCGGGAAGCCAGTCTCAGCCCGCCACACCAAGGAGCCTTGCCCACCAGCCACTTAATGTGCGTCTCTGCCCTCATGCTGCCTCAGGATCCCCCATCCCCTACCCTGGGAGATGAGGGAGTCCCCATGTGCCTTTCCGGTTCTTCTGGAATTAGGGGACCCCCCAAAATCTGAGCCCCCTGCCTCCGCCATCATTTGGTTTCCTCTTGGCTTTGGGGATACTTGTAAATTTTGGGAGCTCTTCCATCTCCAAAGGCTGGGATTTGTGGCAGGGATTCCATTCAGAACCTCTCTGGAATTTATGCCTGATGTGCCTTCCACTGGATTTTGGGGTTCCCAGCACCCCATGTGGATTTTAGGGGGTCCCCTTTGTGTCTCCCCCGCTATTCAAGGACTCCCCTCTTCACCAAGAAGCACAGAATTCTGCTGGGCCTTTGCTTGTTTATTGTTTCCCGACTCTTCTCTTGGGGTTCAGAGCCGCTGAGGGGTGGGGTGAGTCCAGGCAAGGAGTGGAGGTCAGGCGGAGGTGCGGACCACATGAACAGCGTCACTGCACGCATCACCACAGGCGGCACGATGAACGAGGACCACATATGCCAAGCACGGCACAAGAGGAGGCCACGTCAGTCACAGACACAGACATCACGGCAAAAGTGGGGAAGTGGGAGACCACTGGCCTTCCATGTGCAAAGGATTCTGGGAAGATGGGTGGAGTTTGCATATTTAGAGACAGCTGTCAGAGGCAGGAAACTGGGGAGGGGGTCCCTGGGGGAACCGAGGGGTCCTGGAAGTGGGAGGAGCTCCCAAGGTATTGAATGGGGTTGAGGGGAGCTGGTGAGAGGAAATCCTTGTGGGGCTAGGTGTTGGGTGGCGTTTGAGGATGTGGATCTTCGGAGAGATGGAAGATCCATGGGAAGGAGCTAAACAGTAGGGGTTTCTTGAGGATTTGGAAAATGGTGCCGGGACACAGGTGTGCTGGAGAGATCTGGGACCAAAAATGGGGTTTTCCAGGAACTTCAGGGCTCCAGGAAGGGATTCTGCAATGGGTTGCCTGGTATTTGGGCACTTCCAGGAAGGAGTATGCCCTCTGGGAAAACCAGGGGCGGAGGTCTTCAGGAATCTGGAGGTCCTAGAACAGAAGTGAATCTCGAAGTGACCAGGAGTGGGGTTTCTAAAAGGACTTGGGGATTCCACATGTGAGAACTGGATTCAGGGCCAGGAGTCAGGTTTCTCAAGGTACTGGGGGATCTTGAGGAATGAGAGGTGGAATCTTGGAGAACCAGGAGATGGGTTCTCAAGGGATTTGGAGACTCCAAAAGTGAGAAATGGATTCAGGGCCCAGAGGAGGGTTGCCCAGGGATTTGGGGGTTCTCAGTGGGGTATCAGTCGGAGAAGAGGCTGGCGAAAGACTTCCTCAGGCTGCGGATGGTCTCAGCTTTCACCTCGTCCTGGCTAAGGCTGGGCCTGGGCGGGGCTGGCTCTGGAAGGTTGAAGGCATTGGTCAGAGACTGGGATTTGCTAGAGAGAGACAAGGTGGAGGCGTGGGAGGAAGGGGGGAAGAGGAAAGGGAGGAAGGGGAGAGAAACACAATGTTACCCCAGGCCCGGCCCCAGCCCTGCCCCTCTGATCCTGGGGCTGTGCCTGTGACCTCCCCACCCGGCACCATGGGCCTGGACTCTAACAGGTTCTCAAGGCTGGGAGGACTCAGGTGGAGTGGGTGGCGTCCTGGGCCAGGGAGGTGGGTTCTGGGACAGGCTGGGAGGACTTGGATCCAGGGTGACGTGTGGGATTCATGGGAATAGTCCTGGGCAGAACCTTCTCTGTGAATTCTTGGCTAGTTTGATACAAAGGGGAAGATGAGCCAGGGAGGTTTCCGGTCTAAGGGTGAGGTGTCTAGGAGGGCGTAGGAAAGGCTTGGACCAAGGACAGGCTGTTGGGCAAGTCAGCCTAAGGCAGAGCGGCTGGGTAGGGCAGGGAGGACGTCTGAGCTGGGGTGGGGGTTGGCATGGACTGGAAGAGGCAGATGGGTGATGATTCGGGGGGAGACTATGATGAGCCAGAAGGATGTGAAGGAAGAGAAAAAGTATGAGGATGGAGTGGGAAGAGCGGGATGATGGAGGACTAGGACGCAGGCCAGGAGTTTTGGGGATGGGTCGGGAGGGAGAGGGCCAGTTTGGCAGGGAAAGCTCTGGGCTGGGCAGGGCAGGGAGATGTCGACGGTGGGTCACCAAGGTGCCTGGGAGGCCCTGGAGGAGGAGACTTTCCCAGGGCTTATCAGGAGGAATTTGAACTGAGTACAATTTCTCTGGGATTCTGGTACCAAATTCCTGGGGTGAGGAGGCGGAGCCTCTGGTGGGCCCGGAGGCTCGGAGGCTCGCAAGCTTGGGGGAAGGGCTTGGCCCAGGCTGGAGAGAGTTCCTGGGGACCCCTGCATAGGACCTGGGTCTGAGGAGCATGGGAGCTAGGACTGCTCTACTGGGGTAGGGACCCGCTTTGTGAGCAGCAAGACAAGGGCTGCTGTAGGGGTCCCCTTACTTGAGCTGGGGGTGCGGAGGTCCCCCGGCAGTGGCGGTGGCGGGTGGCGGCACGTCCTGGCTGGGTTTCTGGGCCAGCTGTGGCTTGGTGGGACGTCCAGCGGGGCCCGGGCCGCTGGGCCGAGGCTGCTGCGTGGTGGGTGGTCCAGTGCGGGGCACAGGACCCGCCTGGCTGGCCTGGCGTGTGGGGCCAGCTGGGCCTGGGGGTTTCTGGGGCGGGCCTTGGCGCTGCTGCCCGCCCGGTTGGGCCCCAGGGGCCTTTGGTGGAGCCGGGCCGGAGACCGATGTCTGACGGGTAGCCTGTGGGGGGCCAGCCTGGCGCTGGGGAGACGGAGAGGCGGGCGGGCGGGCTGCTGGAGGCGCCCCGGGGCCTCCCGCCACTGGCCGGGACTGGCGGCCTTGACCCTGGGTCAGCGGCGCGGCCTGGGACGCGGGCTGCTGGGGCGCTGAGGTCGGACTTGGAAGGCGCTGGGGCAGGGGGCTGCCAGCTGGGGGTCCAAGGCCTGAAAGGTGCTGTTGGCCCTGCGGGGGCGGGCGCTGCTGCAATGGGGGTCCCTGGCGGTGGGGGCCTGGGACCGGCTGCGGAGGGCCGCCTGGCGGACAGAGAGAGAGAGAGAGCACGTGAGAGTGAACGGGTGAGAGATGGCGGGCTGCCGTAGGGGAATGAGGCTGCCTGCGTCTCGCTTACCCTGTGGTGGGGGTCGCTGCTGAGCCGGGGGCCCTGCAGGCTGCTGGGAGGTCTGGCGGCCCAAGGGCAGGGCCCCTGGGGATGGAGTCTGCGGCAGAGGAATGGAGCAGGAGAGGTTAAAAATAGTTACCAGCCAGTGGAGCATCAGCCAATGATGACACAGGTTCCCTGTGCGCTGGGTGTTGCCTCATTTGTGGCCAGCTGAATGTACGCTGGCTGGGTGGTGGGGTGGGGGACCGTTTCCCAGGGGTGGGGTAGGGAGGTGCTAAGGGAAGTCAGGGCAGCAGCTGCTTGTCAATGTTTTAAACAATTGGCAGTTGCAGCCAGATGTATGCAGAGGTGCTGCTGTAAACCTACACATCATCCACTCCATGGCACTGCCATGGCTGACCTCCCCACACTAGCTCAAGCCACTAGCTCAGCACCAGGGGCCTGACCTGGCTGTGGGAGCCCCTGCCAGGCGAGGCATCCCGTTGTCGCTGCCGGGGCAGGGCCTGAGCCATCTTGTTGACCACGAGCTCTACGATGAGCTGCTTGTCTTCATCCTGGTGGTCACCAATGAGTGGCATGGAGGAGCCCACCACCTGGGTGAGGAAAGAATCCATGAGGGGAGAGGCAGGCCACGTGCCTGAGGCAGCAGTAACACCGCGCTTTCAGTGAGCCAAGGGCATGGCCACTGCCAAGCCCCAGTGTCTGAGGCACTGATTGTGCACAGTGAGGAAGGCTCGTCTGTTTCAAGGTACCTTACAGCTTACAAGGTGCTTCAGAGCAAGGCTCAGCAAATTAGGGCCTGTGGGCCCAACCTGGGCAGGGAGGTGCCCCTGGTGGGTCAGCAAGGGGCCTGGGAGGCCCTGGAGGAGGAGACTTTCCTAGGGCCTGTAAGAAGGAATTCGAACCGAGCGCAGTTTCTGTATGACCCATGAGCTAATGATGGGTTTTAAAATTTTGTTAACAGTTGAAATAAAAAGATTTGACAACATATGAAAATGGCATGAAATTTACATTTCTATGTCCATAAACAAAGTTTTATTGGAACACAGCCACACTTAAATTTTTTTTTTTTTTTTTTTTTTTTTAACATATCATCTATGGCTGCTTTTGCAGAGTTGAGTAGTTACAGCAGAAGCTGTATGGCCCATATGTACCGTCTGCTCCTTTACAGAAAATGTTTGCCGGTCCCTGCTTTAGGGTTTTGTAGATGCCTTGTCCTTTCCAAAATGCTTTGCTGTTCCCAGAATACTTTAAAGGATACTAAGTGCCTTGCCATTTGCCAGGATGTCTCGATTCACAGAGCACTTAACAGTCTCATAAGGGTTTTGCTATTCACCAAGGATGTGCAAGTTCAGTCTAGAGTCTACTAGGTGTTCTGCCATTGCAAGGGATGGCCCCTTCGAAAGCTTGCCCGGCACCTTACAGGGTACTAAGCACATTGCTGTTGTCTGAGGACCTCTGCACCACGGAGTGCTTCAGTCTGCACTGCTGCTGCCCGACACCTGTTCCTCCCTCTGCCCCACTGACCCCTGGGTGCTCCCACCTCAATGATGTGATCCCTTCCATCCTTGCCATGTAGCGCTTCCACTGCGCAAATGTCCAGTCCCCCAAAAATTTCTGAGCACGTGTCCACCCACAGCTTGTATCTGTCAAGACAAGGGGCAGGGAAGCCTGTCAGTCTCTCACCCGAGCTGCCACACTCCCGCCCACCCTTCGCCTCACACCCTGAGTTCCGGCTGCGCACCTGTCAGACATGGCGATCTGCTCCAGCATTGCAGAGCCAGTGTTGGTCTTCCAGTTCCCTGACACTGACGTCCTCCTGGGGGACAAGGGGATAGAGGCTCAGGGGCGCCTGGGCTGCATGGGGCAAGGCAGGGGACCCCTCCCAGATCCTCGGTCTCTCCACTCACATGTAGGCCTTGTAGTTCTGCCCAATCTTCTGGACACGCACATCATATTTGGCATCGATGAAGGGCTCGGCAGTGGCATACGTCTTGGTCAGTGCCACGACACTTGCGATGTCCTGGAAGTCATGCTGGTTGTCAACCTTGACCTGTGGGTGTGAGGGCAAGGATTGGGGCCTGGTCAGGATCGGGCAGCTGTGGGGAGTGGGGGTTCCTGGGGGAGCATGTACACATGACACACAGGTGAAGCGAGTACGCAAAAATTAGGTGGACATGCCAAGGCACTCAAGCAGGCACAGTTGTGGGTCTCCTG